CAAAAAAATGGTTTCCTTCATTGAGATGCTGGTGAAAGTTTTGCGACGTGTTGCCTCGTCCTTAGCTTGCATTGCTTGTCACCAGACTCGACTATGGGATGTACCTGTACTCGACAAGTCTTTGTTATTGTACACCCAATAGTCTTCGATAGGTCTTTGTTATTGTACAACTATGGAATATAACTTAAGTTATCAATGAAATTGTTGTGATGATTGTTACTTTGTCGTTTATATATAGTTTTTGCCTTTAAAATATTTAATAATTGAATGGATGTGATGCTTATTACTGCATTTTTTAAAGTGTCATAGTATTTGCTTTGGCTACACAGACATGAGATAAAGCACCTCACTGAGATGGTGCTGAGGTGGAAGTATTTGCCTTGGTTTATTTGCAAATTGGTTTGCTGTGTTTGCAAATTGTCATTATTGTAGCTCCCATCGTCGTTTCATATGGTGATTCAGCGTTAGTGTTAGATCGCAAAGTGCAAGGAATCAAATGATCTGCATTGTCTTCCCTGCTTCGTCACCCACGACTCACGTGGGTGGTCGTGGATATCACAGACCTTGACTGTTGCCGTCCCTGCTCGTATTTATTAGTGGAGATGACTTGAATAACTTGTATTAAGAAATTGAAAACATGTGCAAGGGAATCTGAACCGCAGCATATGAGAAGGTAACTGTAACGAGTTTAGAAATGAATCGTACTTGCATATCATTGTATTGAGGAGAATGAAGAGTTTATCATACAAATCCCAGTCATCTAGATATATGCATATCAACATTGATCTGCCCAGAATCTACCACATACTTGTGAAGAACCTATCACACTCATTGTGGATCCTACACTCCTTGCTACAGAACATAGCCCACTCCTCCCAACCTTCCCATCCTGTGTGGTTGCCATAGCCTCTGCCTCCGCACTGATGTCCGTCCTAGCGACACACTGGTATGGCCAGAGAAGGCAGAGGACTAGACTCACCCGGTGCCGGTCGCCCAGCCAAGTCCGACAACACGAACATGGCCTGTTGGAAGCGTCGTGTACATTTCTTGTTCTTCCATGTCACATTCGCCTCTGGGCCCGCTTCATCACCTTTGACCTTCCTCAACCACCGTCGGGCAATGTTGTTGTTGCCGGCATCGCTATTGGACCTGTGGAGCACAAGGGAGAGAACAAATGCAACAACATCATGTCCTGCCATAGCGGAGCGCTCAAGCATGTCAAGCCGTGGCATGAGTGCGCTGCGGTCTTCCATGAAGACGGCGCGCATCTTAGCATAGAAGCAGGCCTCTGGATTGCTGACGCTAGCAAGCCTAGCGATGAGCTTTGTGTGGTACTCATGGTCGTAGAACCGGTTCCAGGTCCCACGTTGGATCCCACACAGCAGCACCCACCGTAGTGGTATGCTTCGTCCCACTACGGCATCACTGCACACCCTACGCATCTATGAAACAGGTTGCCCACAGGCTGCCAAGATCTTCCATGGGATCCACTGTAGCCGCAGTGACACGGCTAGCAACCTCAACAGCCACATCTGTCGGGAGCTTCTCCATGGAACGAGGACACGCGTAGCGGCGGCAAAAGATGGATCCTCGGGATGGGGAGCGACGTCATGGTAGAGCGGAGCACTGGGGATGAGGAGGATCAGAGTGGAGCAAGGTGAGTTCCAAAAACCCTCTTAGGATTTAATGACCGCTCCGTTCTTGAAGGTTCCGTGGCGCGGGGATGTCGAACATCTCAGGGAAGTCAATCGTCATCCTCCGAATCGTGTAAACCATGTAACAAAAATTCAGAATGAAAGAATCTTATATTACTATCTTATGATTACTAATTAGAGGTCCCAACAGTGTAAACCATGTGAACCGCGTAAACCGTGTGAACCCCCCCAATTTTGCATGTAAATTACCCACCTCTACCATTACAAAAGATAATTTAAAGCAGTCGTTAAGAATAAAATAGACTAGCAGTTCGTCACTTCGTCTACCCCAAATCATGTGGTTAGCACTAGAGGGGCCGAGCCATGTGGTCGAGTCAATTTTCTCTGTCTAACTTCCAACACTGTTCCATCACCATTACTTCCGCCAAGAGAAGCATGCTCCACTAAGATCGTGCGAGACATGGCCTCACCTTAACTCCTGCTCTCGCTCAATGCAATTGAAGGGAACTCCAACAGGCACCTATCTCGCCCATCCTTTTATAAAAGTGGAGGCTAAGGTGGGGAAGCAAGTACATGATTCCTTTTCTAAACTCATTACACTTACCTATCTTCTCGTTCTATCTTCTTCGCCTGGCGCTCTGCCTCGATACCCCATCTTGTAGATCTCATCTAATGGCGGATCGCACAATGAAGCACCCAATTGAAGAGTCACCGAAGGTTGTCCCTGCTTGTCCCCGCATTCGTGCGATGCTGCGATGGGATGGGGAGGGCAGCTCAGCGGCCCCACCACCGGAGAGCCAATCCCCGCTTCCGGCTATCTCCTCCAGCGACAACAGGGGGCGGATGATGTCCTCGAGTTGGTAGAGCAGCTAGACGTGGACACCTCCACCCTCCATGAGGAGAGCCGGGAGGTGGACCGGCTGTGCCTCTCCATTGCCACTGTGACACGGGAAATGGCCGCGGTGGAGCTTGCCACCGCCGAGGCCCAGGCGCGCCTCGCTGGTAAGGTATTTGGCACGATATGATCTTGCTTTTTCACCACGTGCGATGTCATGCCTTCAGTTGTAGCATTTTCTTGTCTCCTTTTCAGCCATCCAAGAGTAGCGGATCGCCACGTAGGGCAAGGCGACGGAGGCGATCTGCCTTCACCAGGTAGCCGAGGACAACGCCCGTGTCTCCTCCCGGATGGTGACCGAGAGCAACAGGTGCTACTAGGACCTCCACATGGTAGCAGACAACGCCGTCCACGTGCTTTCACCTCCTGTGCCTGTGGGGATGACCCTAGCGGACTGCCTCCGCACCGTGCCACTGCGGGTCATGGAGGTGGCCACGTACTGCATTCGCCTAAGGGCCGCTTCGGCCATGGCCGCCGCCTAGCTTCGGCTAGGTGAGGACCTGACCGTGGTGGAGCCGGGGTTCCCGGGAGAGATGAGCTATCGGCAGCATGAGAACCTGATCAGCGAGTTCTCCGCCGTGGGCGATGGCATCTTGGTCGCGGTGGATGTAGAGGACATTATTCGTAATGCTCCCCGCGAGTAGTTCGATTGTAACATGCCTCTGCATTCTGAATAAAAATGTTCATAATATTTAGTAGTTATTACTTTGAATTTATCTATGTTTGCTGTGACTTGAATGTTCTTGACGGTGCACCACTATGGGATACAGTAGTTTTGTCGAGTGTCAGGGGCACTCGGCAAAGACCTAAAAACACTCGGCAAATGCTTTGCCGAGTGTAACACTCGGCATACAACACACGGCATTAATTTGTCGGCAAATAGTAGTTTGCCGAGTGTTTTTTATCGCGCGAGTGTCAATAAACACTCGGCAAAAATAAACTCTCGGCAAAAAAATGGTAACGGGATGGCACGGCGACGGCGATTTTGCCGAGTGCACGACGGAAAAACACTCGGCAAAGTTTCTCAAGTTTGCCGAGTGTCAAACCTAAAACACTCGGCAAAGTTTATAAACTTTGCCGAGTATCAAGACCAAAACACTCGGCAAAGTTTCTAAACTTTACCGAGTGTCCAGCCCAAAACACTCGGCAAAGTTTGGTTTTGCCGAGTGTCACGCTCAAAACACTCGGCAAACAACCACGCAACGAACAGATTTATGGTCACTTTGCCGAGTGTCCATTATAATACACTCGGCAAAACCAAAACACTCGGCAAAGAAGATTCCCAGATAATAGAAAATGGTCTCTTCGCCGAGTGTTTTGCCTTGACACTTGGCAACTCCTCTCTTTGCCGAGTGAAGCCCCCCCCCTTTTTTTTACTAATGTATCACATATAATGGACCCCTCTCAATTCACAATAAACCATGACAATTCACAATAAAACATCATCATATGCATAATTATATGTCACAAGTATAATAAACCATCATCATAATTCACAATAAACCATCATCACAAGTCATAATAAACTATCATCACAATTTACAATAAACCATCATCACAAGTCACAACTAAGTCACAATAAGCCACAAATGCAAATGCAATCACTGCGGAGGCCCTTGGAACCTCTATGATAAATCCGGATCTTGAGACTGATTATTTGATGCCGCCGATTGATTCTCCACAAAAGAGAAATATTCAAAACAGTGTTAGCTTCCTTTTTAAGTGTTAGACTTCATATTGCAAAGTGAATTTCAGTATCGAAAGGTGTGCATCTACAGCATACTGTAATTGTAATCACAACATTCAACACTAGTGCAACACTTAAATTCGTGCTATGCACACAGCAGGCTACTTGCATGTTAAAAATAAGGGAATTAGCAAGCATCCACATATCTACGTGCTGCTGCCAGTTGCAACATGGTGTTAAGCACACAGCAGGCTACGTGCTGCTGCCAGTTGCAACATGGTGTTAAGCACAGCTTGTTAATTTCGAGCAATTTATATCAAAAAAACAAATATACTTGCATCCACCAGCGAGTAGCTAGCTAGCTGGTCCATGAAAAGCAGTAAAATACTTGCAGATTTATATCAAGAAAAGCAGTAAAATACTTGCAGATGTAATGCAGTAGCTAGCTGGTCCACCAGCGAGTAGCTAGCTAGCTTGTCCATGAAAAGCAGTAAAATACTAGCTGGTCCATGAAAAGCAATTTATATCAAAAAAACAAATCTACTTGCAGACACAATGAGCTATATCAGCAGTAAATGTTTCATTTGACGCTAAGTGCATACTGAAGAAATACATGCTTGTGAAACTTACAGTCATGCATATAACGTAAATGTTTGTTGTGGTTGGTTTCTGTTCATCTTTCTTGTAAGAAGTCATTATTTTCCGGTTCTTTTATTTATATATGATCCCCGAAATACAGTTTACTTAAGCATTATGTATTGATATGAAGTTTCAAGAACTGAAATTTTTGCATGTGATGAAAACAACAGGCTGCAACAACTCCTCCCAGAATGTGGAGCTCATGCTGCAGGAGACCAGCACCCACCCTGATGGCGGGAGCCTTGTGGTGCTTGCGACTGTGGATGTGGATGCCATCCAAGTGACAATGAGTGGCAAGGACCCTTCTTACATCCTCCTTCTCCCCTGGGCTTTGCCATCTTCCCAGCCACCAACCCTTCGCCAGCAGCAACCAGCACAAGCTCCAGCAATGGCGAAAGCAGCCCAGGTAACACAGATGAGCCTGCCAATGGCTGCCTCCTCACCGTCGGCATGCAGGTGCTAGCTAGCGCGGTGCCCTCAGCTAAGCTGAATCTCTCCAGCGTCACTGCAATCAACAGCCATGTCTGCAACGCCATCCACCAGATTACAACCGCACTCAAAGGCCAAGGCGCTGGGGTGAGCGGGTTTGAACTGGTGGCTGCTGCTGGCTCCGACTAGTAGGAAGAGTGGGAACAGAGGAGAGCATGTCCATGCAGATCAAAATGCCTTCCAAGTCCGGTTATTTTTGCTAACAAACATATCGCAGGTGCAAGCGAGGATTTGACAAGAGCCCGAAACATATCGCAGGTGCAAGCGTCAAATGAAACATTGAGACCAACCACAACAAACATTCAATCTGCAGTATAAGGTGTCAAGTGACTCACAGGAGTAGTTGTGGGTGGCTGAGGTTAAGGGAATAGCATCGGTGACGGTGGCAAAGGTTGACCCATACTCGATGCAAAATTCTGCATGTATTGGAACATTTGGTCCATCCTTCCTCTGCCGCTCAGCCTCTATTCTCTGCTGAATCCTCTCCTCCATCTCCTCCCGTTGCTTCGTTTCTGCTTTCACCCGGGCCTATAATATTTCATCCCAATGTTACAATGCAAAGCTAAAGTACGTAACAATCAATGAACGATGAATAAAACAGAAATAACTTGGAGAGTCTCCATCTGAAACTGTGTAGCGGTTGGCTGTGGGCGTATCGCCGGGCTCGAGCTCGTGCTCCTTGCTCGGATCTAGGAGAGAGTGGGATTAGAGGCCGTGTCGAGTGTACTATCACCAATTCAGTACCGGCCATACTTCTTGCCTCCTCCCACCCTCATCACGATTTCTCCATCAAGATCCTGGGTGCTCGGATCGAACTGTGGCCCATGAACCTGCCTTGCGATCGCTGTGTACTCACTGGCGCGGCTGTGGATGCTAGGATCGCTGTACGCCTCGGGCGGGTCCTCCGGGTTGAAGTCGATGTTTGCCGTCGCCTTGCCCTTTTTAGACAGAACCCATGCCTTCAACTGGGAGCAAGGCTGGCCATCATGTGACGATGACTGCAGCAAAAATGCAAAATAATTAGAAATTATGTAGAATTGAATGTTAGAATAAAGAAATGAATTCGCGTACCTATTTTTCCCTGTATTCATCGAGGCTCAGGCTGCCTTGATGGTGTGATGCACGTGGCATCAGCATACGTCAGTCCCGGCAAGCGGTGTGCGTCTCCACCCACCTGGGCTCCAACCACTTGTCCACCATATATTCCCAGCACTAGATATGCTAGGCGCACCATACGGAGGCACCTATGTGATCAAGCGTATGACATATGAAAAAATGAAATTAAGCGTAATTAATCTTATAAAAAGTAAGTATTAATGTTCTATATTTACCTGCAAGAATTGTTCCCGGGTCAGGTTCATTGTTCTTGCCTCTTCTTTTTTAACCTTCATCCCTCTGTGTTGAGCATAGTAGTCGATGATGGCCTGGACGCGTGCCTCGTAGTGCATGTCCTTCACGAGCTTCTTGGTGGCTTCTTCAGAGATGGAGGTCGCCTTGGCCTCGTACCCCTCCTAGCATCTGTAGAAGTCCTGCATATAGACACGATGTATACAGTCATTACTTCAAGAATGTCCAGTGAATGTGATGTATTGAGCAATGTAGTGTGAGGAATAATTACCCACAGCTCGCCCTTCACCCACTCCGCCTTGTTGGGGAATACCCTACCGTCACGATCAGCGGCGTCGAGGGCGGTGACGTAGTGGTCCCACGTGTAGGTCGGCTATAGCTCTTCGCGGAACTGCACTAAGCCAGGGAAGTGTAGCCTGCACAAAAGGCCAAGGATGCCGTTGACCTTGCGGTTGTGATCACCCCCACTGACCTTAATCCAACCCCTGCCCAAGTGATTAAGATAAATTATTAGTTTCCATTGTAATTTTCAACATATCAAATGAAAAATTATTGAGATCATCTAAAGTTACTTTTTCCTAGAGGGTCGAATCATCGGGCGCCTCTCAAGAGGTATCGGTTGCCTCGGAAGGGTCGAGGGACCTCGCAACCAGACCTGGGAACCCACTGCCTCCTCCACCTACTCCTACTCCTCCTGTACCTCCTCCTCGTCACCAGAGGCGTGCGCGAAAGGTACCTCCTCCTCGTCACCAGAGGCATGGGCGGAAGGTACCTCCTCAGACGACGACGAGGGAGCTACAGGCGATGGGGGCCTCGCCCCTTTACCCTTCCCTTTACCCTTCCCTCCACCCTTGCCTCGACCCCTCCCTAAAGCTGACCCTGAAGCTTCGATCTTTTTGTAAAGCATCGCGATCTTCCTCGTACCGCCCACCATTGTTCAATCACTTGCAATTAAAAAGAGTAAACCAATCAGCATAGATAAACAAAACATACTTAGAAAGATATGACAAATAATAAATAAATTAGTATGGCTCATACATGTATTAGAAATAATCATCATGATCGGGATTAGCTGGATCATAAGTCTCATCATCACTATCACGCATGTCGATATAATCATCATGATTGGGGATGTCGTCATCACTGTCATTGCCTAAATGTAATCGCTGAAGTAATTCTAAGTCCTTCACATTCTGAACCTCGTCTCCAGCGTCCTCATCAGCAACCCTTTCATTGTCTACTTTCATTCCGATCGCTTCGGTTAAGTCTATCTCAAAACTCCCTTCGAGCCCATCTTCTTGGAAGAACTCTCCATCATATGTGTTGGGGTCTATGTTGTAATCTTCATTGTTTGGTATAGGTAATTTACCGTGTGGCCATACCTTGTACACAACATCCCAACCCTTAAGACGGTCGTCGGTTTGGCACGGGTATGAGAGATAATAAACTTGCGTGGCCTATTGAGCTACAATATAGACATCGTCTCCTGGTAAGATGGATGATTGTTGAATTTTGACTAGCCCAAGATTAGGGGTCCGTCTCACTACTGATGGATCAAACCAATGGCATTTGAATATGACTGGATTAAGAGGTTTGCAACCATGAAACATGAGTTCGTATATTTCTTCAGTTCTTCCGTAGTACTCGACCCCATCAAAGCCTAGCATAAAAACTCTGGTATTTGTGGTTCTTCGATTGGGCTGACTCTGCTCGTGGCTTGTTGTGTGAAAGCAATAGCCATTCACATCATAACCGGTAAACGACTTGACCCTATAGGCACAACCATTGGCAACCTATCTCAACTTGGCACTCATAGATGCATCAGTTTGGCCCTACAAGTTCAAGCAGGGTGGTTCGTTATATTATTCACATGTACGAGCAACTTGTAATGTCAAACTAAGTACGAGCTAAATTGGACTATACCTTCTGTTTGAACCAAAAAATGAAATCAGGCATTCCATTTCCCGCACCCTCTCTAAGAAGGGTCTCAGCTTCCTACGAGGTAGGTTCCCTTGATTCACGCCAGAATTGACGATGAAATTCCCTGTACCAACGAGAAACATGGGAGTTGGACACAGAATAGTGACTACTTGAGAACAAGTTTGTTGAGAACTTACAGCATGTACAGCTCCACTTCGGATAGGTTGGTCAACACATACAACATGATAGTGCGCCACTCTTCATGTTTCAAGGTCTTGTGGGTTGCACCACTTGCACTTTCGAGTTGCCCTCGGAAAATGCTAAGGCTCGATTCATCTTCGCCGGCATTATAACGATGGGGTGGATTATGCATGCTAGGAAGATTGTCAGCATAGTATTTTGTTGTGAAGTTTGACACCTCCTCCAGAATGTATGCCTCTGCAATGGATGCTTTAATTTTGCATTTATTTTTACATTTAGTTTGAAGAACCTTTTGACATCTCTCAATTGAATGGCACCAACGGCCCTGCACAGCCCCCCCCATTCGTGCTTCATACGGGAGGTGCAGAATCATGTGCTGCATCGGATTGAAGAAGCCGGGTGGAAAAATCTTCTCCAACTTACAGAGCAACACAAGAGCCATTCTTTCCATTTCTACAACCACGATACGAGATAACTCCTTGGCACATAGCTGGTGGAAGAAATTGCTCAACTCCGCTAGCACCTGCCAGACATGCTTAGGGACATAGCCTCGAACCATGACCAGAAGTAGGCGCTCAAGCCATATGTGGTAATCATGACTCTTGAGCCTGTTGATTCGCATAGTAGCTAAGTTCACTCCCCTCTTCAGATTCATTGCATACCCATCAGGGAACATTAACGTTTGGAACCATTCTAGTACCTCCCTCCTTTGGGCCCTCGTTAGGACAAAATCGGCCTTAGGCTTTCTCCATGACTTGGGGGCTCTGGGAGGTGCCATGTTCTGCTTTGGTCTATCGCATAACCTCACTTGATCCACTCTAGCCTTAACATTATCCTTTGTCTTATCAGGAATGTCCATGATTGTACCAAAATTGCCTCGGCGATATTCTTTTCAGTGTGCATTACATCAATGTTATGTGGAAGAAGAAGATCATCAAAATAGGGGAGGTTCCACAAGCATGACTTTTGAGTCCAGGCATGTTGTTCGCCATATCCCACAAAACCACCTTCTTGTTTATTGACCTCGAGAGCGTCTAACTGAGCACGAACCGCAGCTCCTATCATCTGCAGTGCAGGGTCTTTAACTATGACATCTTTCATAAAGTTCTTGATGTCTAGTCTGAATGGATGGTCGGGAGGGAGGAATTATCGATGTTTGCCGAACGAAGAATACTTGCCACCCTTCGTTAACCAAATGAACATCAGAGAAGCCTTGCATACCGGGCATGGGAACCTCCCGTGAACACACCAGCAACAGAAAATCCCATATGCCGGCAAGTCATGCAGGGAGTACTGGTACCAAACATGCATCTTGAAGTTTGTCTTTGTAGCTCGGTCGTATGTCCATACCCCTTCCTCTCAAGCACGGACCAAATCATCAATCAGAGGCTTCATGTACACACTCATATTATTCCCCGGGTGTTCTGGAATTATCAACGACAAGAATATGTTTTGTCGTTGAAAGAGGACGCCAGGGGGGAGATTGAGGGGGATAACGAACATGGGCCAATAGATGTACGGGGCAGCCGCCACTCCATAAGGATTGAACCCATCTGTTGCCAGAGCAACACGTACATTATGAGCCTCTAGAGCTTTCTCACGATGAATCTCATCAAACCTTGTCTAGGCTTCACCATCGGATGGGTGTACCATCTTCTTAG